TGTAGTTCGCTGATTATCATCAATCAAATGACACATGTGACATTTCATTTATACAGTATTATATTGTATGACAATCCATTTTGTACAACTCAAGCCACATTTTAGAAGGATAAAAACGAAAAATTATAGAATTTTTTTTTTTTTTTTCCGGATTACACTTCTCAGAAAAACGTTTAGTACTCATAATAATAAACTTTTTTTTAAAAGTAATTTGCGGTCAAATTTAACCACTTAATTTTTTTCGTTTTTACAACTTTTAAGAGAAATAATTAACGATAACGGATCAAATAGGTACAAATTTATTCTCTGTTATTGAAAGAAAATTTTATTTAGTTTATTGTTCTTTTAAACCGATTTCGCTGTATTTTTGTTGACGTACATATGAATTTCTTATACCCTTTGTAGAAAACGATTCTTACATAGTTTAATAAAGATGGAAAGTAGCGAATATAGCAAATATGTAAATTTGCCATTTTATGGTGAAATGGACGATAGTATAATGAAGTCAAATGAAATAGATAGTATTTCAATGTCTCAATATATAAATGACTCCTCGAGAAATGATGTAGAGTCTCTTGGAGATTTAGATGTTAATTCATTTGATAATGGAAATCAGTTTACATCTGATACTCAGATTGCTTCAGAAGGATGGGACTCATCCACACATATAATTCATGAAAATGTTCAAAATAATAACCCACAATTAGCATTAATAAATCCTGTAGCGGCAGGTTCACAATACCTAACAGATTCAACCTTTATGGACCAACCTGGCCAGTCATTGAAAGTTCAACAGCAAGGTCATTCGTATGGAACGCGGTACGCAAATCAATTACGTCCGACACCCGGTATTGAACCTCGCAGAAGAAAAGTCCCAAAAGAAAAAAATGAACCAGAAGATAAGGGACCTTATTGTATTTGTCAAGGCCCATCTTATGGAACAATGATTATTTGTGATTTCTGCAACGAGTGGCAAGTTTTATTTCATAATAATAAAGATTACGAAGAAATTTTTTTATGTTGTAAAACTTAATGACCCAAATGTAAACGAATTAGAAATTAAAACCTTTTATGTAATTCATTATGTTATATCATTTGTATCATGTCAATATAATTATATAATACAGGTATCATATTAGGTGTGTGAATTTAACAAAACAACAAGCAAAAGAAATAGAAAAATATATGTGTCCAAACTGTCAAGGATCTAGAACCCTAACAAGTTTGATTCAAGGTGTGTTTCGTGAAGATCATCTTACATTTCTTCGCGCGGTTTGTACATAATATTAGGAAAGTTTCGCCCAATGATAAAAATAATATGTGTGATATTGTAAATTACGTCATATTGATTTTTCATTGGACAAAACTTCACCTTCTATTTGTATTAATTGCTGCGCCATATTCGTTATTCTCTTTACTTTGATTGGTCAACAAGTTAATAAGAACCTTTATTTTATTATTTTCTTCTTTAGAAGATTGCCCTATAGCGGAGACAACAGGCATTGATCCAAAAGCGTTGATGATCGAGGAACCCAAACAAATCGTAAGCTAATTATTTTCTTTTAATTTCATTGAAGCGCAACTATGATGTATAAAAAAAAAAAAATTTCATCTTAATACAGAAGGTATTTATCATATCGTGTGTTTAACTTTTAGGAACCTCCATCGCCTCCAAAGTGCAAGCTTCAACACTGTACAGAAAAAGCACGTGATAATAACCCTTATTGTAGTAATAAATGTTTTATACAAGGTCATATATTGGAAATCAAAAAATCACAAGATACAGAATTAGTGCAAAATCAACCCGAATCTTCAGTTGCTGAATCAAAAAAGACGCCGCGTGTGATATTACCAAAACTAAAATCACCCGCAATAAAAAAAGCTGTGTCTATTCCTACAAAATCTGGTTTTATTCCTAATAAAGCACATACTACAAGTTCTAGTGATAATCGTCCAAAAATACGCAATGTGTTCCCGGAGAAACTTAAAGGAGTATTCACTAATAAATATACGGAAATAGTTCAAGATCCTGATTATCCTGAAAAGGATAAAGATCCTCATGAACTTGGACTTCAACTTGCAAATGAGATTGAAGATGCAATTTTCCACAAATTTGCTAAGGGTATTATCGGGCAAGACTACAAAACTAAAGTTCGAAGCCTAATTACAAGTTTAACCGATTCCAAAAATGCGAATTTGTTGCGTCGAATACTCTCTGGTGATATTCCCCCTGAGACTTTAGTTATGATGTCTTCCGAAGAATTAGCGAATCCCGAACAGAAAGCATTAATGGCCAAAGTACGAAGAGAAAGCTTGCAACGATCAATTTTAAAACGTGAAAATACTGGTCCAAGAATTAAAACCACTCACAAAGGAGAATTAATCATAGTTGAAAATGTTCGTGATTCTCCTCAAGATTCACCAAAAGATACTACTACATACTTTGAGGAAGATCATACTTATGCGAATTTCAATGCTCCTGCTGTTGAGAGACCAAAAATCAAATTTGAAGATTTAGTTCCGAAGAAATGGATAGACGATAATACTATGGCATCCAAAAATGAAAATTCGGAGGGCAATCAATTAGCTCGTGACATCTCAACTAGTTTGGATTTATCTAAAGGATCTGCTGATACTAGTGATAATAATGATAAAATCATACATACTCCCGATGATTCCCATCCCGAAAAAGTTTTGGATGATAAAGAAATAGTAAATAGTCCTTTAATATCACCAAGTGTATCATCAGTTAATTCACCAATACATTCTCCTCCAAATTTATCATGTCAATATTCTCCTGGAAGTCCTTCCGATATGCGATTCGAATCTCCTGGAACTCCTATAGGAACTCCTCCAAGTAATAATATGAATATTGTACCTGAGACTGTATGGAGGGGTAGATTGGTATTTGATAAGAAACTTGGAGAATTTTCAGGACATGCGGACCTTCTCGCGGCGAAAAAACGTGATAAGAAAAGAAATTGGGATGAATATCTCGCATCATCTATTATCGTCAATGGGCATGTTTCCAAAATTGAAGATGTGGATAATTATTTAGTTGACTGTTGGTGTTCACCTAATAAAGATATAGCAATCATTAAATTTGAAATTTGTGAAAATCCGAATACTGAAGAATTTGAAACTATATTTAATTCTTTGCACTATGCACCAAAATCAGCGGACGTAAAGAAGCGTCGATATGGACGTGTTGCACCCGCATATAGTACTGTAAGAGACATGTATCTGATTTCATTAGAACCCGATGACAAGCTTCCAGATGTTATAACTTTTTTAGAACTAGATGGAATTTTATCTCTTGAAAAGCGACCAACTAGGTTATTATTGGGTGCTGTAATAATTGTTGAGGCAGAATCAAATAAAACAAAACGTATGCACGATATTAACGAGATAAATGGTAGAGCAGTTAAGAAAGAAAAAAGCGAACCCGATACCACGACTAACTTGGCAAAAGTGATTGCCTTGCCAAATATTGGATCTAATATTCATAATAACGAATCAATTAAAAAAAATATACCACCGGCAGCGAGTTCTATTAGTTCCTCAACAAACTTTTGGCCGAATCAACATAATTCTGTTAATGGTTCAACTGTAACTTCGGCAACGATTCCGACGTTTTTGCAGTCGTCGTTAACTACAAATAATCAAAATCATCCGAATTTAAATATTAATGTCTCACAAGGTATTCAACAAACTCCACTTGCGCAACCATTACCAATGATCACTTCTTCTACAAATGGTCTTTACGGATTATCTTCATATCCTCCTAATCCTCAAAATCCACCAATGGTGCATCCACCTCAATTACACATGACTTCACAACCATCACAAATGTATTGGAATTCACAGCAATCACCACCACCACCACAACAGCAGCAGCAGCAGCAGTCACAAATACCACTTCAAGCTCCTCAAAATTATCCCATGGTTCCACCATCACATCAGCAATGGATGCCTCCAATACAACCACCACAGCATCCACAGCAACAAGTATTTCTTCCTCAACAAGGTCCTCCTCTTGGACAACCACCGTTCATGCCACCACCTTCAAATATACAACAGCAAAATGTGCCATTACAATATGGACATCATGTAATATCTGATCTACCAAATGGTATTTCGCAACAACAACCCATAAGGCAGCAAATGCCTATTGGATCGTCTTCTCAGTATAACGCTTATCCGCAAAATTACAATCATTCCCAATATGAATCACCTCGACCACAATCACGGGAGAAAGATAATAGGCCGCATTGGAATAGAGATAATAGACCCAATATGGATCGAGATCGAGATCGAAATCGTCATAATCGACAAAGAAGAATTGTGAGAGAAGATAGACGACATCATGACTCTGATGATTACAGACCTCCACCAAGAGATCCCAGGCGACCATCACCACCTTCATCAGATTATCGGGATTTCAAAAGAGGTGGAGGTAGAGGTGGAAGGTATCGTTAAGTGTCAAATGGTATTTTATTTGATTTGATTGATTTTATATTGCTAACGCAATAAATATTATTGTGCCACCTCTAACAATTCTCGTTTCTTTCATAATTTTAGATGAATTCGATAAAACGAATAATTTGTAAATGAAGTTTTATTTTTCATTGTATAACATCCGGTATATGACTTGATAAATTACATTACGCGACACAATAAAGGGATATTTTATTGTGTAACTCAAATTAATCTTAATAAAATTCTCATTTTTTTGGTTATATCATTATATCACAAATTTTAACTCGAAAAATTGCTAGTGATACAAGTTGACTGATTTGGTAATTTAAATAAACCCGCAAATACGAATTAAAAGGATTTTAAATACCAGGATATTTTGCATGTAGAAGTTCGATTTTTTTAAACTTCAAAAATTATAAAATATCTGGGGTATAATGTTAGGAAAAATTCATATAGCGCATAATATCTGGATATTTATAATTACTAAAATACTAAAAACATATACAAATTATACAAATAAAACAGTTGTCATTTTTTAAATCATCTAAAATCTACATCATTATCATTATCATCTCAACATAATCAAATGATTCATCTTTCGAATCAATAGAAACCTTCATCAAGTTCATTCCATAATTTCTTAACCTAGTTTGCTAACTGTTAATATGAAGGTCTTTTAATTCTGGATTAAGAGTATAAATGCAATTTATAAATTAATATTAATAAAAAAAAATCAAATCTTATATAATAAAAAAATTGTGTGTAACGGTCACATTTAGAATAAATGTATAAATAATAATGATTTAAAAAATGTTTCATAAGAAAATGTGTTACGGTTACGTGATTTACCCCGTAGCTAGTATGTTAATAATAAAATTTTAAACTTTTTAAAGACCTTAAAACGTCAAAATTTACAAATGTTTCCTATTTATTATATGCAATAAGATCAATAACGTATAGCTATTCATTTATGACCATATTGAAAAATTTCCCATTATTACATTTCATTAACTATGAATGATAAACATCAAAAAACTGTACAAATAAATTATAAATATAATAGCGATTGTTATTAGTATATAATGCAATTAATAATGCAATTAATAAAAATAACAAAAAGAAGTACTTCTCATGATTGCGGGGTCCTATTTATATTTAACATGGGGGAGTTTTCCACAGCGATATGTCTTCTTTTGCCTATCATATTCATATTATTTAAATCTTTGATTACTTCTTCTGTTTTGGTTAATTTCACCTGAGAAAAAAATCAATAAAATTTTATATTCATATCCGCATAAAAATCTATAATAGTAAAAATAGTAACTTCTTACTTCCAACTCTTTTAATACACAATATAATTCTTCAAATAATAAACAATTATCATTTGATGATGGTATAACTGCTTTATCCAGCATTCCAAATAAATACATTTTGTTACCATACCACTGCATAGCATAAATATTCACATCAAGTCCTACGTTAAAAAATTATATAAGTTAACAAACACCAGTCAATATAACTTTTGATATGTAAACATACCATGTTGTGTCCAACCATATATCGTCAACTTCCTTCTTTCATTATCATTAATATGTCTCCAATTCTTTAATAATATATTTAAAGAGTCTCTCATAATGACTCCTAACTTAACTTTATCAAGGAATCTTTTCTTTTTTGATGCTGCTGGAAAGCCAAATGGCCCAATTCCTCCTGAAACTTCACCAAATAAAACCTCAGCTTTAATCGGAGTTCGAATTAATGTTCCAAGCATATCTACTTTATGTCCAATTCTTGACTTGTTAAATGGATTATTATTTTCATTACGTGCATCTGTATTTGAATGTGAAACATTTTCTCCCCTATCATATAAGATATGAAATCTTTATTATCATTTTTATTTATGTAAAAAAAAATAATGAATATAAACTGACATACCACTTATCCTTAATAACATTATTGTCAATTACATCACGATAAAAGGGAAACATGGTGCTCATCTTAAGTTCTTCTTCCGTTAACACAGAAGAAAAGTATTTCATATTATGTTTTCTACACAATTAATGAAAGTAAGATTAATGTATCAAAAAATAAATTTGATCAATCAATACTTGCATATATTTGATATTTATGTCAAGGTCTTTATAATTCTGACCTAGATCATCATTGCAATTATTTGTAAAGTATTTCTGGAGGTTTTTAGGTGCAGGTTTAGGGTTCCACTTTAATTTTCTGGAAAAATCTTTTGATATATTTTCCATTAATGAATCATCAAGATCCTTTGCATTATATAAAGATTCTTTTGTTAAATCGATCACACCCCAGTATCCTAGACTATAGATATACATAAATACAAATCTAGTAAATTAATAAGATTAATGATTGTAAAATAAAAATAATAACAAAATAGCATACGTTATAGCTTTTTTTGATATTGGAATTTTTGATCTATAAATTTCAAAAGATGTCGTTAACTCTTCGATAAAATCTGTATGAATATTCACTTCATTATCCACCTTAAATAGTATCATGGAATTAGTTATTTCAAATGTAACAAACAAAAAGAATGTAACAAATAAAGCTTACTTCTGCTGAATCCATCAATGGTAGGACGTTCTCATTTATCAATTCATCCTCATTGATATTACCAATCAATACATCTTCATTATTTTCATCAAAGAGAGTGATTTGCCCTTCGTCATCATCAACATATTCATCTATTTCTATTTTTCGTTTATTTGAAGTTTCCCCTTGTTGCAGATAAGTTTGATACGCTATCGTATGAGTGGAGACATTGACCGTTTCCTATATATGAAATCCAGAAATATTAGCATCATTGGTGTTTACGTACCCGTATATATAATACAATCAAACACACCTCAATCACAGCTTTTATGGCGATTTTCTTCTTTAGCAATATTTTGGCATCGAAAAATTTGTGGCATGTTTCAATGACACACTTACCTGTCAGCGTCTGTGGTGATAATAAATTTGTTACAACTATATTACTATTTTACAAATAAAAAGATAAAGAATAAAAAAGTACTTCTAGCCACCGAATATAACTTTGGCAAAATGACCTAACAGATACAGGAACTGTGAAGATCTGATTAATTTGGTCAACGCTTTCCTTGAAATTAAAGAACACCTGTTCAAAATTGAGTACAACATCGGTGTTTTCAAGAACATAATTGATGTAAGCTTCCAAAGACCAATTTGAGGCTGGGATAACCTTGAAGAAAGTTTCAACGGCACGCATATTTTCACTACACCTAAAGTTGTGAAATTTTGTCGCTGTTAATCTAGGCTCACTAATTAAAGTTGACATTGAATTTATGTTCTGTGCAAGAAAAAAGAAGATAAAAAAAAAACGCGTATGACGACAATAATCGAAGATTCGTGAATATACACGTGATTTGATTTATGGGTGGCGCAGAAGTGTACAATAAAAATTTTCCTAAGCATCTTTTTTTTAATTTTTATTTTTTCGATTTTTCGATATTGCTTTTCATTCTGTAGCTAGTTTTTTTCACTATTCCTTTAATAATATGATCTCTAACTTTATGTAAAAATGCTTTAAATATAGTAAATAAAGTTGTTATTAATATAAATTATTAATTAATAAAATATTTAAAAATACTTGTAGCATTTATCAGATTGTGTGTTATTAGGATTTATTATAAAATATTCATCTGTAATTTAAATATAAATATTAATTAATAATTAATTTACTCTTATATATATAAATATTTAAATTAAAGTAAATATATCTCAAAATCAATATCACAAAAGTGATAAATATGATTTTTAAATATAGTTTTTAATAATTTTAAATCAACATTATTCAGAATAGTTAAATAACAATGAATTTTTTTTCTCTAAATTGCCATTTAATGTAGTCAAATTTATATGAATTAATAAATAAGTAAATAATGTAATAATAACTTATGTAAGCTTATTTAATTTTAGTACATTGTTACATTTTATTCTATTTTGATTAATATATCTATATTTATATTTATGTATTTTAGCAAATATACTAAAAATCAAAAATTAAAATTAATATTAATATTAAAGCAAAATAAATATTATTTACCAAAGTTATTTTTACATAAGATTTTTTAATTTATATCAAATGTATTTTTAAAAAATAATGATGTAAAGTCTACAGATATGTATGACTCACATCTATTTATTTAGATACAAATTCATATTTCTTTATACTAAGGTATTGCTTTTCTTCTTTAGTTACTTTATATCTGAAAAAAATTACAATTTTTTATTGAATGAATTATATCACTATCTCCATATGAATATTAAATATTAATCATTAAAAAAGCTTATCATATTTTCTATTCTATATTGTATATATTAGTATAACCAGTTTCTGATGTATTAGGATACTTTTAAAATTTAATATAATAGTAAACTTCTGATACTATTAACTTTTGTCTAAATTTTGCAATTTAATTAGATCACTAATAATAATTATTTTATAAAAAATAAATTTATTAATTATCATTATAATTTAAAATTAATTTTTTTTTAATAATAATTTATGTAAGAAAATTTAACTATTTTTGTAATATTTTTAATCTTATTTTTTAACCTTATATAGATCATATTATATAGGTCAAAATATCTTTTACTAAATATATCTAATATTGATAGATAACTGATAATCTAAACAAGCTTTATTACAGGATTTTCTACTATTTTTATCAGAAATTTATAAGAAATTTATACTTTTTGTAAGTTTATTGATACATTTTTTAAAAAAAAAAATTTTTGAAAAATTTTGAAAAATTTTTATTTAATTTAATATTCTATTTAATTTAATGATAAATTTTTTTTTATTAATATGTGATAGTAGAAAGGCTAACTAGTAAGAATACTTATTTACTAAGTAAATTTTATTCTTAAAGAAGCTGATTTCTGATTCTCATTTAAGGGTATAGTAATCTTATTTTAGAAACATATTCTTAGATAGTTGCTATTTAGTATAGATCATCTAAAATAGCTTAAACTATTATCATAGGCTTATTAGATCATAGATATTATTATCTTTAAATAAAGAGCTCACTTCAACTATAGAGCTTATCACACCCTATTTTTACTAATCTAATTTATAGAGTTTTACTCTATTAATAACTTCTGAGACTAAGCAATTAAATTTTTTACATAGGTGATAGTTTTGCATTTATAGCATTAAATTTACCAAGAAATTGAACTCAACCTTTATTACTAGTAATAGCTTGATTAGATAATTCTGTGATAGTGTAATGTAATCTATTATTATTATAGCCACCTGAAAATAATACCAATCTACTAATTACTGATTAACTACTTCTTTATTTATGTAAGAACCCTTAAATTTAAAAATGTAAAACAGTATCTATTACAGACTTATTAGTAAAGGTCAAATTTCTGTTAATCTCTAGTTTCATTTGCATTCATATATTTTTCAAACTCAGTATTTAAGTATGATTAATATTGATCAACAGATTGATCAATTAGTTATAATAGTATATTAGTATACACTTATATATTCAGCTACATATGAAATTCTTATGAAAATCATTTAGTTTTATATCTCAGCTGAGATCTGAATCTGTGACTATTGCAGTGTAATCTACAATAAAAGTTCAGTTATTACTAATTGAACTAGAGATGCTAATTCCTATTTAATAATAATTATTTTTTATTAATATGCAGTAGTAGGAGAACTAATTAGTAGAAATATTTA